CTTTGGGAGGGACCTTGAGGTGACAGGAGGACATGATTGTGACCATAGGGCCTCCTCCAGCAGCCCCACTTTCCACCTCCACCTCCTGGTAGTTACCACATGCATCTGGCCTTTCTGGATGGGAAGGTGTCACTTTGCAATTTCAGGACTCAATGTCCTGTTTGTACTGGTGACTTATCATCTGCAGCATCTCCTGACCCATCACTGTGGGCCCCGGGCCGCTGCATGGGAACAGGTGAATTAATAAAAGTAAGAGTTTTGGTTCTTTGGACAGATGGTTACAATGGAGAAAGTGCAGGCAGGGAGAGGGTGCTACATACCCTGAGTAGGGGCGTCACCTGGCTTCCCATTGGGAAGCGCTGGTCTCAGGTTTTCCTGGATGCCCAAGGACGCAGCAGAGCCACCTTTCTAGAAAGCTGCCTTCCAGTTGTGGTCTTAGCTTGCAGGGTGCAGGCTGGGCCCACTGGCCTGGTTCCCATCGGCAGTGTGGTGCACGTCCACCATGTCTCATCTCTGCCAGCCCGGCCTTGTTGCTGGGGAGTTCATGTTCCTAAGGAGCCTCTCCCCATCTCTGTCTCTGGACACATTCTCTCACATCTGCTAGCTCAACACTTGCCTGCCCCCCAGCACTCTTGTGCTCTAGTGGATGGGTGCAGCTTTTGTTCCTGTCTGTTGAACCTGTGTTTATTGGCATCTTGGTGTTTTTCCTCACCATTTCATATTGAATTGTTTTGTTTTGTTTGCAGTGCCGGGGTTGAACCCAGGAGTGCTCTACCACTGAGCCACATCCCCGGCCCTTTTTAAATTTTATTTTGAGACAGGGTCTTGCTAAGTTGCCTAGTGCCTTGCTAAGTGGCTGAGGCTGGCTTTGAACTTACAGTCTCCTGCCTCAATCACCCAAGCCTCTAGGATTACAGGTATGTGTCATCATGCTTAGCACCATTTTTATTTCTTATTTTGAGACAGGGTCTTGCTAAATTACTGAGGCTGGCCTTGAACTTGCCATCCTCCTACCTCAGCCTCCTGAGTTGCTAAGATTACAGGCTTGTGCCACAGTGTCTCAGTGCCTGGCTGTATGAGTTCTTCATATTTTTTTAGATGTTGATGGACCTTTATTTTATTCATTTATTTATATGCGGTGCTGAGAATTGAACCCAGGTCCTCACACATGCTAGACAAGTACTCTTAACCACTGAGCCAGCCACAACCGCAGCCCCAAGTTCTTTATTTAAAAAATTTTTCCATAATTTTATTGATGCATTGTAATTATATGTAATAGGGGGATCCCTTATTACATATTGTACATGTGCTCGGTATAACGGTATGTATGAATCCTTTATGAATACTTCATTATTATGCTTCAATTTTTTTCCCAGTGAAACTTCCTAACGCAGAAGTCGCGTTTAGATTTATGTGCTTTGAGGAATATGAGCACACTTGGATGGAGTCAGAATCATGTTCTTTAAAAATGATTAACAGTGGCAGAGTGCCTCCCTGGCATGTATAAAACCCTGGGTTCCATCCCCAGCACCATCAAAAAAAAAAAAAAAAAAAGGTTAGCATGCCAACAAACTTGAATTAAATGTGAATCTTGATTCACAGTTGTCAAAAAATACACTGTAGAGATGACTTAAAATTTTAAAGCTAGTTTTAGTATTTAATATGAGTCTGAGTTAGTTGACTGCTTGGTCATCATACTGGTCTTTGCAAGTAAATATTACAGAGCTTCTGGGTAATGAATCCTTACTGACAGATGAGCAGCCGGGCCTTGCTGGTTTTTCCTCTTGGTCTGTTAGCATTGGATCAGAACCTTTTGCCCGCACGCACAGTGCTGCACCATGCCCATGCAGTGCAGCCTCCATGAAACCCGAGGGCAGGGTCCAGAGAGCTCGGGAGGGTCCTGCAGGGCAGTGCTGGGTCGGCGGGAGGCTCTGCGCCCCTTCCCCACGCCCCACCCGTGCGTGTTCATCTGCGTCCTTGGTGGTATCCTGTGTAATAAACCAGTGGATGTTTCCCTGAGCTCTGTGATCCGTCTGAAAGGGGAGGGGACTGGCTGGAGGCCTGTCAGTCAGAGGCACAGGCTGCTGTGTGGTTACTTCTCTTTCTCCTGGAGTGATGGAATTCTCCATACCCTTCCTGGGGCACAGCCGGACTTGGGGTGCAGGTTCAGAGCTGGTGACCCGGGGCACCCCAGGTGATTCAGCTGTGCCGCCACATGGGGGCGTTTCTGTGGGTGGGCCTCCTGTGTGGTGTGCTCCCCAGCTGTGGTCCCGAGTTTGGTTTGGCCAGAGCTTGGGATTTATGGCCTGAAATCGCCCTCTGTAAACCCCATGCTGCTGGAGACGAGGTGGTTGTGGCACTTTCTGGGTTTAGAAGGAAGTGCACCAGAGGCACAGTTTTGAGTCTGTGTGGCCATTCCCCCAGGACCTTTGGCTGGCTCTAGCCCTGTGCCCCTCTGTTGGGTGTCCCTTCTGGCTGGGTCCTGTTGTCCAGTTCCCACCAGGGTCAGGATGGGCCTGGAAGCTTCTGGCCGGGGGCAGCCCTGCCTCCATCAGGAGGTCGTGCGTCCTGGCTGCGGTTCCTGCTCCTTCGGTGCCCTTGGACTTCAGCTGTCGGCTGGCTGCCTATTCCCACTGCTCTGACCCGGCTTGTGCCCAGGGCCAGCCCTGCTCCTGCGTGACAGTCCCTCCCCCAAGAGTCATGTTGTGAGACCCTAGGTCTTAGGCTGTTTTCACAGCTCTCCTGTGAGGTGGTCTTGATGGACCCCTTCCTTGCTCAGCTCAGGGTGGGGAGCAGCATCCTGTCGATGGAGAAGAGCTTTGGAAACCAAGTGTGGCTTCCAGGCTGTCGATGGTCTTTGACGAACCAGGTGGTGACGGCACTGAGAACTTTCTGGTTCTGCGACTGGTGTGTGTGCTCTACCGTGGACTCTGCCCCTGAGCCACACCGGCCTGGCTGCTTGGGGACATTGCCCTTTAAGCCCTGCCTCCAGCCTCACTCTGGTCACTGGGTTCCTTCTCCCTGGTCTTTCATTGCCTGGTTGTGGATGCTTGATGGTTTGCTGAGCACTGTTTGGGGTCCCTTGAAAGACACTGTGGGGGGCTGGGGATGTGGCTCAAGCGGTAGCGCGCTCGCCTGGCATGCGTGCGACCCGGGTTCGATCCTCAGCACCACATACCAACAAAGATGTTGTGTCCGCCGAGAACTAAAAATAAATATTAAAAAAAAAATTAAAAAAAAAAAAGAAAGACACTGTGGGACCATTGACAGTGACACGTACCCGTAGCCCCAGCTCCACAGGATCACAAGTCGAGGCCAGCCTGTCTCATAATAGAAAGGGCTGCTGTGTCTCCGCAGCAGAGCACCCTGCACCCAAGTCCAGAGTCAAGAGAGAAGAGGACACTGAGAGTGAGGGAGTTCTGGAACCCCCCCAACAGGCGGAGACCACAGGCAGGGGCTGGCGGGGGTGCTGCAGGCTGGTGCCGGTCCTTGGGTTCTCGTTGGGTCTTCCATGGAGGAAGAAGGACACGAGGTGTGGTGCCAGAGCCAGGCTGTGTGCTCACGAGGGCTGGTGGGACACTCGTGCCAGTGGAGTGGCACCTGTTCGTTGGTGCTGCTTGAAGTGGGAGCCTCCTTGCAGGTGAGGCAGCTTCTCCCTGCTCCTGGAGGAGCGCTCTGAGGGTCTGAAGTGCCCTTGGTGCTCAGGAGGTAGGATGAGGCAAAACATCAAGGTGTGAGGGTGTGAGGAGGAAAGCAGCTCAGCCAGACTGACCAGGAACAAAATGTGCGCCCCACAGCCACGTCCCTGTGACCTGCCTCCTCCAGCCACACCCACCTGCCTGTGGCCACCACCCAGGTATTCCACTGGGCGGATCAGGCTGTCTCAATCTAGTCATTTCACAGTGAGTGCCTCTGCCTCGGCACTCGGGAGCTTTGGGGGCACCACGTCTCCCAGCCATGACGCCTCGTGTTTCAGACACTTTTGCTGACTTGTTCTGCTGCCGTGGGAGCACGGTGGGCTTTGCTCAGCTCCCTTGCGCAGCCGTGCTCCCCATCCTCGCCCCTCAGCCTCCGTCCAGAGCCTTCCTGCCTGCTCTCTTAACCGGCCCCTCAGGTTGGCGCCTTCCCTCTGCACTCCATCTGGTCTGGGCCTCAGGTCAGTGCCCAGTGCCGGCCGTGCAGACGGAGCTCTGGTCCCCCTCCCGCCTAGAGAGGAGTGACGGTTTGGCTGGACAGTGCCTCTCCCAACTCCCTAGTCATGTTCACGTAGGGTTCCTGGTGCTGCCCCCGGCTGGGCTGCTGAGTTCGAGGCCAGAGCTCAGGGGGTCCCCCAGGAAGAGTAGTGCCAGGGCAGGTGGTGTGTTTGGTCAGCTCCAAGGAGAGGGAAGGATGGGGTGAGGCAGGGGTGCTCCCTGGGAGCTGCGTTTAGCCGAAGTCAGGTGAGGGTCGATTCCAGTTTGGGAACAGCACACAGAGCTTAGAGTACGCCAGTCTGTCTTCCAAACTGGCTGTGTGCCGTTCCATGCCACCAGCAGCAGGAAAGGCAGTGCGGCCCCGGTCCTGCCCCGTCCCGCCGCCGGCCCTCTGCTGCCCTGCGCTTCTCCTCAGGTGCTTGTTCGTGCCTGACCTTCCCAGGGGAAGTGTCTCTTCAGACCTTTTGCTCATGTTTCTTGGGGGGTTTGTTTAACGAATTGTGGAAGTTGTTTTTTTGTTTTGTTTTGTTTTTAAGAGAGAGAGAATTTTTAAATATTTAATTTTCGGTGGACACAACATCTTTATGTTATTTTTATGTGGTGCTGAGGATAGAACCCAGCGCCCCGTGCCTGCCAGGCGAGCGTGTTACCACTTGAGCCACATCCCCAGCCCCTCGTGGAAGTTCCTTACATATACCAGTCGTTTATCACAATGTGCTTAGCAAACTCTTTGTCTGGGACTTGTATATTTTTTGGCTTTTTTTTTTCCCTTTGGTGATACTAGGGATTGGACCCAGCATCTGCATGAGCAGTCTCTGGCTTCAGGCCCAGCACAGCCGCCCAGAATGCGCTGCAGTTAAGGGGTGCATTTCTGGGCTCGCCGCTGTTTCCTTGCCTGAGATCTCTGGTGCCAGCCCTGCTGTGTCTGGCATCCACAGCTGCACAGCAAGGCGTGATGCCAGATGGCACTGGACTTCCACCTTGGTCTAGTTGTGAGTTGCTTTTAAGGTACTCTGGACCTTTCACCCTGCTGCTTGAACAGCAGGCTCTGACTGACAGCGTGTAGAGCCCTGCTTGGGTTCGGGGTTGGGGGGAGTCTGTAGGTGGTTGTTGAGTGGGCTCTGCCGCGGGCATGGGGTGCGCTGGCCGTCCCTTTGTTTCTGCCAGCTGTGCCCAGGGCCTGCACTGCTCCTGTGGGGCCTGGTGTTTGCCTGCTGTGTGGTCGGTGGTGTCTCAACCCCAGGTGCTCTCTTCCTGCGTCCATGGGGTGCTCTCCTGGTCTGCCTGTTGGTTTGCCTCCTGCAGACCTGCAGGCAGACTCACCTGCTCGGTGTGGCCGTCTTGTAGATGCTTGAAGGTGCTCTGTGGCTTTCCAGAGAGAAGTCCGTGTCTGTGCGTGCCTGCTGACCGCCTGTGCGCCCCTCTTCCTGCCGCACTATGCTGGCTCTGGCCTCCAGTGCACCGATGGGTCCAGATGGTTCTGTCAACAGGTTTTTGTAGGTCTGATTTTCAGTAAACTTCAGGAGAATATTGACCACAAGAGCAGTGCTCTCCGCTCTAACTACATGTTAGCCTTGTCTGTCAACAGGTGAGGCCTCACCTGGCCCTTGGAGAAGGTGAGACCTAAGAGTTGGCATTTTTTTTCTTTTTTTTTTTTGAAGGACCTCAGGCAGTTGTAAAATGTACCCAGAAGGAGAGCCAGCTGCGAGCACTCAGAGACTGCCCCACCTCTAACCTTGATGCTGCCCCTTGCCAGCGCCCCAGGTGTCTTGGCTCGCGGACCACAGTGACTGACGCCCAGCGTTGGCGCCAGTGGCTGACGTTCCTGGCCCTGCGTGGCCTGACCTCGGGGTGGAGGGTGGAGTCCTGCAGACACACTGCCTGGTCAGGCCACCCATGGGTGTTTCCCTGGATCACCTGCTGAGGCCCCATCCCCAAATACAGCCCTGCTTGGCCCGGCAAGGCCAGTCCAGTGGCCTCGGCCTGCCTAGCACCTCTGCTGCGGCGTCCTGGCTGGCGGAGTTTTCCTCTGTAAGGAGAACGCACCCTGGGCTTCTCTGCCCGCCTCCATCCAGCCGTCCAGGGCTTCCTGCCCACTGGAGGCCAGCTATAGGACCCGGTTGGCTGCCCTCCCCTCTGCCCCGTGCCGAGCCTCAGGGTGTCCTGCCCAAGCAGGCTGGCCTCCAGAGGACAGGGGCTGTCGCCAAGGCCGCGTGGGCTTCTCTCATGACCCCCTGGTGACTTTGAGGAGAAGCCTGCCTCTGATGGACCCTCCGTGGAGATTGTGGCCTATCGTCGTTCAGTTCCTCTCCAGACCCTCTTTTCCTTGTCTTCTTTCCTGAGATGGGACTTGGGTGTGAACCGCTGAGCTGCAGCTCCTGCCCTTCCGTCTTTTGCCTTGAGACAGGGTCTTGCTGAGTTGACCAGGCTGGCCTGGACCTTGCACCCTCCTGCCCGAGGGTGGGACAACAGGCTTCTCTGTTCTGTGTGCCAGTTCCTGCCACTGACCCTTCCTGGCTGGCTTCGCTCCATGTTGGCTGAGATGAGGTGGCTGGCCACTTCCCACTCCACAGCTCTCGCACAGCTTTAAGGGGCCGGTGCTTGGGGCTGTGTCTGCTGCCACTCATCCGCTGATGGTGCACCTGTGAGTTCTGTCTTGGCCTTGACCCCTGAGCTGGTTGGGAGAAAGTTCCAGAAATCGTGATTGGTAAGGTTGCTGTCCTTAGTTCCTGGCCTCTGCTCTCCTGAGCCTGCTGCTGTGGTCAGAGGTGCAAAGCTCTGCCCTCGCTGCTGCCTGGAGCCGGGGTTTCCTCGGTGGCTCTGACGCTGGTCGGGCTCATCCTCTTGGCAGGCCTGCCAGGGACTTCGCCGGAGCCCTTACAGCCTTCCAGGGCTAGGAGGTCATGGGCGAGGCACTCGGCCTTCTCCTCTCCACTTGGCATGCTGTGCAGTCCACCGCGTGGCCTTTCATTTCAGGCATCTCCGCTGGCCATGGGGCTCTGCCCCTGGGCACGGCATCCACCCCTGAGCCCCTGGCCTGCCCTGTGATGCAGTCGCCATTGCTCTGTTGTGGCCCCCACTGGTTATTTTTTTCTGCTTTAGCTCTCTAGGTTCACTCACAAGCCTCAGGTGGGCCCCTGAGTTCTTGAACATCTTTGGGGTGGAAGCAGCCCAAAGCACTTGGGTACAGCGGCTTCTGGCGCTCATTCCCTTGGAAGGAGCGTGTGGGCAGAACAGTGGGCACGCCGCTGCCAGGCCCTGCTCCACTCCACATGGCAGAGGAGGGGCAGAGGGAGGGGCGCGCGCATATGTGTGTTTGTGTGTGTGTGTGAGAGAGAGAGAGACACACACACACGCACACACACCAGGGCAACTTCACACCGACTGACTCTCTTTATTTCATTGGATCAAGGCGTCTGCTTTTCTGGCAGAAGTTCTCGTTTATCAACTATGGAAATGGAACAAGAGAAGATGAATGTGAGTAAGGAGCTGAGCCCAGATGCGGCCTCGTACTGCTGCTCAGCATGTCATGGGGACGAGGCCTGGAGCTACAGCCGCCCTGTCCGGGGTCGCGCCAAGTCTCGGAGCCTGTCGGCCTCACCTGCCCTGGGCAGCACCAAGGAGTCCAGGTAGGACCAGGAAGGTGCTGCAGTGTGGCTGCCGCACTGCGCAGTCCTTCTAAGCAGGTCCACACTCGCCACAGGCTGGGCTAGGGGTTGCCCGGGGAGCTGCCTCCGAGAGCAGAGCAGGGTATGTCCAGGGCCACCTGCAGCTGAGCTGTGTGTGTCTTCTTTCCACCTGGGAGCCATGCTGGGGGTGCCGGCTCGGTGGAGTGGGTCTCAGGTGCAGGGCCATGGGGCCCTTTCCAGTGGCCTGCCCTGGTACAGGGTCACCCATACAGCAGCACTCAGGGCCTTGGGAAGGCGGCCAGATGAGCGCAGGGTTCAGTGGCGCCTGGGGTGTGGCTCTCAATCCTGGGGACAGTGATTCTGGTGCCTTTCGTAGAGAAGTCCGCCGGGAACCAGCGTGGTCTGCAGCAGTGTCGGTGCCGTGTGGGTGGGGTGTGGTGAGGCGCAACTCTTTGCATGCGTTCTCCAGGGTCGCGGGCCACAGGGCGGGGGACCCTGGGTGCTGCAGCCTGTGGGTGGCCTTGAGTGATGGAGTCCCCTGTGGAGAGCTCTGGTTTTTGTATGTTGGTGTTAAGATGCTTATACAAAGCCAGCGTCTTGAGAGTGGGGTACAGAGAAGGCTGCTTGCTTGGGCGCTGGGGACGTTGGCAGAGCTGCGTGCCTCGCACCTTCGACCCGAGGAGGGAGTCTCAGCCCGCTCTGGTAGGCAAAGCCCCTGTGAGATAAAAAGCCCACGTCTGTTCAGGGAGCTGAGGGGCCTTCCGAGCCTCTGCTGGTGGAGTGGGTCCAGGGGGCGTGGGTGCACACGCATCTGTGTGCAGCAACAGGGCAGTCGGGCCTCCACCCCGGCAGGGTCTCACCGAGCAGCCCACCTGCCTCCTCCTGCCTCAGCTCCCTTTTGGCTGGGATGATGGCTGGCTGCCCCCTGTTCCCGTGGACATAGCACAGCACACCTTTTGTGTCCACGGGACTTTGAACCATGAGAGTGGTGAGGGTCTGGGCAGCCTTTTTGGGGGTCCCAGGGTGAAGTAGCATGGCACACGGCTGTCCTGAGGAGCAGAGAGGGAAACTGGACGTCCACCTGGCCACCTGTAGTCTCTGCAGGCACTGGACCGTCTTTCCAACAACCTTTGACCTTCCCAGCGGGAGTTCTGTGTGATAATCTGCATGATTTTTAGACTTTTGTAGACAAACCTAGAGCCTAGTCCAGAAAGGCCCTGGCACCCAGGTGACCCCTCTCCGTGTCAGCATAGGCCTGGCCAGACTCCATGGCCCGTAGGCGGCCCATCGCCCAGGGCAGGGCAGGTCTTTTATCTGCGTCAGGACTGGGCAGTTTGGGGAGTCGTGAGATGGGCAGTGGAAGGTGAGCGACCTTGCAGGTCCTGGTCCGCTGGCTTGGTGACAGTCACCTTGGTACCTGAGGGGTTATGAGGCCTGGAGGCCAGGGAGGGAGCCTTCTGAGGAGGGCAGTCATGGTGCTGCCCACCACTGCTGGGCATGTGGGCAGCCCAGATGCAGCCCCCCAGGTGATGGCCTGGAGCAGGCCCTTTGTTGGGGTTCAACTGGCCGAGGCCCTTTTCGGGGACCACGGAAGTTGGGCTGCTGAGCTCATTCTTTCTGGGGACGAGGGTGCCTTGGAGCTGCAGTCTGGCCCAGGTCCTCCAGGTGGCACTCACTGGTCCTCAGGACGTGTCTTGCTGTGAGCTCGGCCTGGTGCCGGGGCCGGGGCAGGACCTCTGGGCTGACCCTGGAGGCGGCGGTGGCTGCTCAGGCTCACGCCAAGCGTGTCCTTGCAGTCTGACGTGGCTGCGTGTCGCCAGCTGCACACTGCTCTGACAGCAGCCCTCTGTGCCCCTGCAGGAGGACACGCTCTCTCCATGGGCCCTGCCCAGTGACCACGTTTGGACCAAAGGCCTGTGTGCTACAGAACCCCCAGACCATCATGTAAGTGTGTGGGCCAGGGCGGGGTGTGTCCTGGGGTGTTACGGGGAGAAGCGGGTACCTCCCAGCCCTGCTGAATTCCCAGCCCCTGAGTGGCAATCTCCTCTAGTGGCTTTGGAAAGTGAAGGCATGAGCTGGGCACTGCCTAGCCTGTGGACTCTGGGCCCGCGCTGGCATTGGTTGAACCTCGGATGCACCCACTGAGCTGCACCCCCAGCCCTTTTTATTTTCTATCTTGAGACAGTCTTGCTAAGTTCCTTAGGACCTTGCTGAGTTGCTGAGGCTGGCCTCAAGCTTGGATCCTCCTGCCTCAGCCTCCAAGTCAGGTTGAGTGGCGTTGCAGTGAGAAGCTTGAGTTGCTTCAGATTCCAGCAGGGAGAGTCCTGGGCATGGGCCCCGTGTCAACCTGCTGGCTTTTCCTTCAGTCGTTTCAAAATACAAAGGTGTGGGGCTGGAGGTGTGGCTCAGCGGTAGAGCTCTTGCCTAGCATGTGTGAGGCACTGGGTTCGACTCTCAGCACCACATAAAAATAAGTAAATAAAATAAAGGCCTGTCAATAACTAAGCTATGTATATGTGTGTAGAATGCAGAGGTGTTAGCTGCTTCCCTCCGTCAGACGCAGCTGCTTGAAGGGTGCCTTGTCCTTTTCTTTCCTGCTGCTTGGGTCCAAATCTAGGGCTCAGCATGCCAGGCATATGCTCTGTCACAGGGCCACGCCCAGCCCAGGGTCCCCTCCTCGCTGTGCTGGCTCTGCTGCTGGCCCACGTGTCCTGGAGGAGGCAGGCTTGGGAGTGTGCCAGTCAGCGTCCCCCAGCCCACTGGTGACAGCGCCGCAGTCCAGCTCTGCATGGTGTTGACGGAGCCGGTGTCTGTGCTCTGCATGGTGGTCTGGCCGCGGGTAGGGCTTGTGGGAGGGAAAAGCCAAAGGGATCTGATGTTAGTGTTTCGACCTCCAAGGGTCAGAGCTCTGCTCCTCCCACCTTCGCCCTGCACCAAGGACGTCTTGGCCCTCTGTGCTCCTGGAGTTGGGGAGCACCCCGCTCGGGTCTCCGTCCCGCCAGAGCTAGGTCACGTGCAGTGCTGTGTGGGTCTGCCATGGGGCCGGTGGCTGTGTCGAGGGTGGTGCTGTGCCTGGAGGTTGCCGGTGGACTCGAGAGTGGAAGCCGGGAAGTTGTCTGTGGATTGTACCTTTACGGCACTGGGTGAGGGGCTGGGCTGGCCAGCTCTGGTGTCTCGGTGCTGCAGTGCCACCTGGGTGAGACACCTGGCCCACCTCCTGGAACTGCAGTGTGGGGACAGCAGAAGTATGGGCCCATCGCCTTCAGCTTGTTGGAGGAGCTGCTTTACAGACTGGAGTGGCCTGGCAGTGCGGATCCCTGTGACGATGCTGTCACCTTCCTGTCCATGAGGGACTGCAGGTCCCCGGGGCCCTGGCGTCACCCCACATGCTTTCCAGGAGCTGTTCTTGTACAGTTTGGACGGGGAAGATGGTTCTGAGCCCACGTTTGCTCCCCAGCCCCTCCGCCCAGTGGTTCGGATTGCACCCTGCCCGGTGTGGACTCTTAGCGGCCTCCCATAGCCTTGAAGTCCGTCCTCTGCCCAGCCCGCCCAGCCTTCCAGACCCCAGCTGCTCCAGAGCCCTGCCTGGTGGCACACCTGCCTGTCACTTCCTGTGACCAGGGCTCCATGTGGCCCCACCCCTGGCTGCCCAAGGCCCTCCTGGCACAGCTGTCACGGCTACTCACTCAGTGGCAGCCCTGAGGGGGCTCACCGCTGCCCAGCCTCCCGTAGCCAGCAGTCACCAGGGCCAGGCGCAGAGTCGCTGTCCGAGCCGTGTGCTTTCCTGTGGCCTTCTCAGGCTGGGCTTCAGGATGGCCTCTGAGCCATTTCCCAAGGTCAGGCCTCCCCAGGCAGGTGGGCCTGGCAGGGTGGAAGGTGAGCACCCAGGGCAGCGTCTTCTCTGCCCCATGGAGGCTGGCATGCCCTAGCTGGGGGCGGGCTCCACGGCCCTCCTGTCTGCACGCCTTCCCGGGCTTCACAGGGGCAGGGGGTGCTGCAGTGCACACCCTTCCCACCTGCCTGCCATGTGTGTGCTCTGCTGTGGCGTCACTGGCACCTGAGGGGGTGTGGCCAACAGTCGGTTCACCTGTGGGCCCCCAACTCTCTCCTGCAGCTTTTGCGGGCAGGCAGGGCTGAGGCTTCACACCACACCTGCACCTGTGGGCCTGGGAGAGTCAGCACCCCACTGTGCAGATGACCCAGCAGGAAGTTGAGAGACTGGTTTATGGTCACGCGGAGGGCTTGGTGCCCAGGCCAGGTGTGATGACACTGCTGGTCACGACACGGGCTGGGCCCAGCGAGGCCTCAGGGCTGGAAGAGTCTTGATGGGGCTGCCCAGGGCAGCTGCAGTAGCAGGGCTCTCGCCACCTGACAGGACAGAGGGCTGTGAGCATCCCACACACCCTCCTGGAGCCTCTCACCCGACAGCCTCTCACCCACCCGTGGCCCACGAGCAGGCCTGGCCAGTTGCACAGGCTGTAGCCGAGGCCAAGCTGGGCAGGCTGGCGGCCATGGCACTCCGCTAGGAACAGGTAGAGTGGGCCTCTTACGTGGATGGAGGAGCGGGAACAGCAAGAAAGCCACCCCACTGTCTTGATTCCCATCATGTTGGGAAGCTCTCTGAGTCGCCCTGAAGACGTGAGTCCTGCGAGCTGCCTTTTGCCTTCAGCTTGGAGCGTGCAGAGCTGGACGTGGGGCGAGGGCATGTGGAGCTGGCGGTGAGGGGCTGCCCCCTGGAGGGTGGAGTCACCTCGTAGCTGCAAGAGAGGTGCGAGCAGGTGGTGAGGCTAAGAGAGGGTGCCGTGAGCAGCCCCTCGTCTCCCAGCAGTGACAGGACAAGGCCGCCACTGCTGCTGTGGTTGGTGCTGTGCAGCCTGGCTTGAGGCTCTGTGGTGGGCTCTCGCTGCCCCATGAGGCACGACCTGCTGGAAAGGGGCTGAGGCAGGCAGTATGGCGCCAGGGAAAGTGCCAGCTGCCTGTCAGGCCTACCGTCTGCAGCTGGCTCTGTGGCACGTGCAGTCCACATGTGCCCCAGGCACTGTAGACCAGGGCGGTCCTGGGACTGCTGAGTTGTAGAAGAGCCTGCTGGGTGGCCCTGCCTCTGGAGGACCCCGCCTGCCCCTCAGCATGCCGTGTGAGGAGTCGAGCTGGTGCGCTGAGGCAGCAGAGTAGAGGGCCGTGGGCACTGAGCAAGCAGGGCTGCCGCCACCTTCTGAGCAAGCAGCCTGTACTGTGACCACGAGGGCCAGCCCCCTCACCTGGTGGTGTCATCTGTGCAGGAAGCACCGCTGTGTCCTTGGGGCCAGCCCGGGAGTGGGTAGAGTCCCAGCCGACTGGGTGGGGCCGGTGTCCTCTTGGGGCTCAGGGCTTTCCTGGTTTCCATGCCTCTTTTCTTCATGGGTTCTGTGCACAGGCCTGCAAAGGTGGGTGGGGGGTGCCTGCAGGGACCTGGCTGAGCACTGCAGGTAGCAGGCAGGGCAAGGCAGGGTCTTTGGGTCTACAGCAACCGAGAGAGTAGATCTGCTGTGCCCTGGTGCTGGCCTCTGTGCCAGGCTCCCACACCACTGTGCAGTGTGTCCAGGAGGCGCGGCCCCTCTCAGGGACTCCTCCTCCAGGGCCAACGCCTGCTGACTTCTCTCCTCCCGCCAGGCACATTCAGGACCCTGCGAGCCAGAGGTTGACATGGAACAAGTCTCCAAAGAGCGTGCTTGTCATCAAGAAGATCCGGGACGCCAGCCTGCTGCAGCCCTTCAAAGAGCTGTGCGTGTACCTCATGGAGGCAAGTCGGGCCGAGGAGGCCTCCTGTGCACACTGGCAGGCCGTGGAACCCCGTCCCAGGTGTAGGCAGGAGGCGCAAGTACGCCCAGAGGGTGGCACCCTCCTCGCCCCACCACTCCAGTGCTCCTCTGTCCTGCGTCCCCAGTGCTGCTGCAGTGTGGGAGGTCGGGCTTCGGAGCTGGGTGGCCCCTCACTACCTGTCGCACAGTCCCACCAACCAGGTCAGTTTTAACCAAAGAGCCTTATTTTGGTTCACGGTTCTGGAGATGCAGTGTCAAGGGCTACATCTGGCGATGGCTGCCTTGCTGGCCAAGTTCCAAGGTGACACAGGGCACTATGTGGCAAGAGGCAGCACACACACATGTGGTCTCTGTCCCTCAGAGCCACCATGATTCAGCCAGAGGCTCCGCCCTGCTGGCTGCTGACCCAGATCCCCTCCAGATGCCCCTCCTATGAGTAGCACCGTGGAGCTCAGTTTCCCCCGATGCCTGAGTGGGGGTGAGCCTCTACCCACGAGTCCTGGGGACAGGGCACAGGGTGCCTGGTTCCAGAGCCACTGGAGCAGAAGGCGCCGAGGCCTTGAGCGTGGGAGAAGCAGGCAGGCAGGAAGTGGCTC